TCGAAATGTGTAAATAGTTTAGCAATTAAGTAACATAAATTTATATATAAATAACATTTAGTCAGTTTATGCGTTGGCATTTTTAAATTCATAAATTTTTTTTTTATTATTTGTCCAACTCATAAAATGAACAAATTAGGAGGTCATTAGGCCATAATTGTGACGCGGAGTGCGCTACGTGTTGTCGCACACGTTTAGCGGTATATTTACTTTATTTTTGTTTATATTAGTAAATTATATGAAAGTGTTTTTTTTGTTTTTTTTTTTTTAGGTTGCAATTGGGTAATCGAGTGAGATGTAACTTCTGGTATATCTGGTCATCGATAAATTTCCATTTATAAATATACAATTTCTATTTTATGCTATAAGTTTTTAGTGTATATTTTTGTTATACAACAAAAAAAAAACAAGAAAAAAATACTAGAAGTTATAACTGTTTCGGAGCACACCATATTTCGTCTTCAGACTTCTTATGGCAGATATCGAATCCACGGACCAACTGACTTAACAGGCGAGTGCTCTACCATTGTGCCAACATCAGTTATGCAATTTATTGTTGTATTATTCAATTCACTATTAACCAACAACTACTCGTATTAATTAGCCAATTTAGCCGCTTTTTCATGTTAAAACTTAACAAAATCAGTATCTACATATATTTTATGGAAAAATATTTGTTAAAAATAGCTAAAAAAAAACATATTTACGCATTACATAGAGCAAAACAAAATTTCTATGAAAATCCCAAAAAGGGAATCCTTTCACCTAAGTGGTAAGAAAATGTGTAATTTATGAGGCCCTCACATGATTGATTTTCCTTAATGTCTTAAGTTATGCCATCTAGTGCTTGAATTGATATTTTCTGGAAAGCTAAATTAGTCAAAACTAGTAGGCCTTAGCTGCAGTCCTCTATTACTCCCTACAAGGAAGTGGTGCTTTAAATTTACCACATTACTTTTCAAGGTTTAAACTAATTCTCTGAAAGCAAGCGAAACTAATAACCCACCGCTTGTTGCGCAAACTACAACTTAAAGGCCTATTCTCACTGTTACCGGTAAAGTAAATTTTGTTACTTTTCTTTAACACCAGAAATTGAATTTGGTATTCTGGCGAATTGGTTACAATGTTTGAAAAAAATTTGGCAGCACTGCTTTTTTCGTAAATGTCAAATTACATTTGCGAGTTGATAAAGTAAAAAGAAAAATATTCACATCGAAATGGAAGACGGTGCACAAAGAAATTAAAAATTTTTATTAATTTGTTTATTAAATCATAAATATTTGAACCTAATTATGGAAAATATGCCTGAACAACAAAAAAAGCTAAATGAAAACGTTATCTTATAAAATAATTAAAATTATTTTTTAGTCTCGAAAACTTCTTGGCATACGCTTTTTTGAACTTTTTTCTTCAAGTTCAATGAATTCCAGTCCGAAAATATACCTACCCATTTTGGTTTTTTATTTTTTCTCAAACTTACAACACGAAATCAAACAGCAGATATTTTTGTTACCTCCTATTTCGTTGGTAACAAAATTTACAGGGTAACAGTGAGCTCAGAATACGAAATGGTAACAAAATTTACTGAATGGAAAATTTTAATACCAAAGTAAATTTTGTTACCTCGACAGAATAGGCCTGTTAATCGACTTCTGCATTGTAGTCTTTATACCTTTCGTGGCTACATCAACTCATACCGTCGTTCTGATTTTATTGGCATAAAATTGATGAGCACACGCTTGTCCTTTTGGTATTTACATACTTGCATACCAAAATAAGGTTACCATTTCATTTACCAGATAGGTTTACAAATTAAAATCCTCGAAATCAAGAGTTGAGTTGAGTTCTTACGGCAGCAGATCGTACAACCAGCTCACTTATCCCAGCGTCCCCTCCTCACTTTGTTTCCGTTGTAGGGTCTCCATCGCCTACTGAAATTAGCGAACCATTCAGTGGGTATTATATACTTGTATGCTGTGAAATTACCGAGTAGTATACTAGCTATAGCTACCTCAAACGAGGTAATCAAAGAAGTGTTTTCCTAGAGACTTATTTTGCATGGAGCTTAGAGTGTGGAAATTGTCTGACTCTGTGTTCCTGCAGCTTCTACAAAAGTCATTTTCTTACTGTTGATGCTCCATGAAATAACGCGGATATGTTACAGATATTACATATGTAAACAGTCTTCCACAAAACTGACGGTACAGTGAGTTAGTATTTGTGTCCAAACGCTAAATAACGGTAATGGTATTATGACTAGTAAAAGTACCTTTTTTATTTTTATAAAATTGAATATTTTGGGAACTGTGGCCAGAGAGAAGCATACGTTTTTGTTGGGAACACTTAACTTACGTTCCATAAAAGTCTTCGCACAGCTGATTAAATCAGCTATTATTAGTAAAAAGGGGAATTCCACAATTCAATATTATTACTATAAATTAAGGGATGCTTTTAATTTTGATTTCTAGCTCGCTGAGTGTTTTTTTGTGTCAAAATCAAATAAAAGTAAAAGAAATTATGAGCCGAAGAGAGCTGACAATTAGAGAGAGGGAAAATATATATATATATATATATATATATACAAATATCCGAGATTGTGTCGCGTAGTCGGTCATCAATTCAAAAAGTAGTTGACCGATATATAACAGAGAAAATAGAGTTGAAAATGTACCCAGGACTGTCCGCCCGCGCAAACTGAATGAAAGTGAAAAGAGAAAAATTTTGCGTACAATAAAAGAAACCCCATTTGAAGGCTACAGAAAAATTAGTGATGATCTTGCTATTTACGACAAGAAACAGTTTAGTGTAGAAACTTTACGAAGAGTAGTCGTAGAGAACGGGGTTTCATCTAGAGCACCAAGGAAAAGGAAGCTTGTGAGTATTACAAATAAAGAAGAGTGTAAGACGCAAAAACATATTGGAGTTTTGGGTCAAAATTTTATTCTCAGATGAATCTAAGTTTTGCATATTTGACGTAAATGGACATAAAAGGGTCTGGCGAAGAGTAGGAGAAGCGCTTAAACCAAATAATACTACTAAAACCACGGAGGTGAGGTTGCATGGCAGCTGGGGGGATAGGAAACCTTGTTTTTGTTGAAAATAAAGAAAGTAAGTTGATACAACGTGCTCCTAGGAAAGGCTTAAAAGCACACTGCTCACAAAGTTCGAATGTCGTTGTTGTACAATGTTCGTATGTTTCCTAATCCACCTCAAAACCCTGATTTAAACTCGATTGAGCAACTTTGGTATGAGCTCGAAGCTAGAATCAGGAAACACGACTTCAAGCAAGGCACAGCTTAAAAAAGGTTATGCTAGAGGAGTGAAGCAACATTAGCAGCGAGCTCACCAAAAACAAAAAATGGTGCATTCAATGCCTAAAAGGTTGAGATCAGTAATAAAGACTAAAGGAACAAGGTGAGGTTTCCGTAGAGAACAATGTTATAACTGCAATTCTGATTTACTTTCTATAGATGCATCTTCATTTTTTTGGAGCAGTCCTCCATGTGTATCTCTTTCATAAGTTGCATGCGATATTGATTGATATTGGCTAATTTTGTATAGGCCAAGCCTAGCATATATGTTTAAAGAGGGTCCCTTCTCACTAGCTCGTCAGTCGTGTGTTACATTTTTCCCCTTGCTTTGGGCAGTTTTTCTCCTTGGCGGTCAGTAGTGGTCCTCGTAAGTCTGGTAGATAGGACGGGTTTGATAGAATGAGTCATGTAGGTCCTTTCAGCTCTGTCGACGCTATTTCTGAAGAAGTATTGCATGGATTTACATTGCCGTATCCAGCGGTCTGTGCAGGGATCATAGGCTGGTTTTGTATGTACCTTTTTCATCTATTTAGTTGGTTGGTTACCTACTAAGTTGAAGTAAGACCAGTTATTTTTCCAATTTTAACAAAAAAATGGAGTTCTTCTTCTTTCAATCCTACCACAGGCGGATATTGCATCGAATCGAGTCTCATGTCACAGCAAGTCATCGTTTATCTCCGAGGTGGACCGGCTTCGTTTGAAAACAGTCTGACGCCACTGAATGTAAACCAATGGATGGCAGGGAAACACACAACATCTTTTATTAAGGGATGTTGTGCAGCCTGCTCCATGTCTAAATTCGTAGTGCTTTATTTTAATAAAAGAGGCGCTAATGGTCTAACAGTTAGTACGAAAGCGGCTAATAGTCATCACACAGGTCTTTCTTACCCCTACGAGCCGTATTGATGTCCGTATTGATGTCCGTATTGATGTAGTGTGTGGCTCTCTATGGTCATTATGACTGCTGCAATCTGTTTCATAAAAGTCGGGCGAACATCGCAAATATAAATGTTCCTGCAGAAGCTGCAGATATAGTCCCTAGAGGTCACCTTTTCCAAGAAGTGACTTCCGTCAGTCTGATTTTAAATAGAATCCAAGAAGTCAACAAGGCGTAGGCAAATATGAATAGCCAAAAGGGAGGCGAACCCAAAAATATGCACTCTCTCCGCTGGTGTAGGAAGTCACAGGAAATGGAATATGTGAAGCGTCCCGAATATGTGATAATTTCATTCGTTGGTAGTTCGTCAAACTAGCAGAAGCGTGTAAACCGATACGATAAAAAGTAGACAGAGTATACGAGACGCGTAGTACCGACTTCGACTGGACGACATGCACAGAGACGCTGACAATCTCAATATTAGTAAGTAAGATCTTCCAATGGATACCGGAAGCCGTGTTAATTCAATTACTACATGTGGCTTAGGAAAAACTCGTAATTTGGGGGCTGTTACAAAGTTAAAGTTGGTAGACAACCTCACCCTCTGTTGTAGCAAGCGCCATTTGTACCGCACTAGCCACAGCCCCGACTACAACTCAAGGTTTTAACTAAGCGTAAACCAAGCCGAAATGTTGAGATGTTCCGTATTAAATTAAGTCCGATATTATTGTCGAAGCTTGTTCTCCAAATAGTTCTTCTAAGATTTAAACAAATAAGGTTTGACTAAAATTTACTTTAAATTTCTTTCACAGGACTCAAATGGTGTGAACGGCACACTTACCAAGGATACACCTTCATTTGTCTCGTGGAATTGGCCATTGATACGCAAATGCACTTTCTTCGTTTTCATGTCCAGCCTTTTGGCTATGTGCGCTATTGTGGTGGCCATGATTGTTACCTTGCCAAAGACCTGCAATCCGAAGTATGTATTTTATAAAATATATTGAAGGCTAGCTTATTAATGCATACTCATTCAACCCACAGAACAGCTTGGTTTCGCGGCAGTGTCTTCTATGAGATCTTTCCCTCCAGTTTCCAAGACTTTAATAATGACGGCATCGGCGACTTACGTGGTATTATGCAGCGTGCAGACTACTTGGCCTCACTCGGCGTGTCCGCCGTGCGTTTAAACTCGATATTTCCCTCACCACATTATCCCGATGACTTTACAAATCCGACATCATTGTTCGAGGTGGCCCCAGTCTTGGGTAGCGCGCAGGATGTTCAACAATTAGCAGAAACACTACGGCAGCGCAATATATCTTTGTTACTTGATCTGCCAATCGGTGCGTTCATGAAAAGATTAGATGACGCCACAACCACTGCACCTATAATTGTGGCACAAACAATGGAGAATGACAGCGAAACCACCGAAAGTACTGCCTCAATAACGCCGACCACAAAATCACCACCGAAAGTGGCGAGCACATCGGCTGGCAATGTCGTTAGCGCTGTTATATTCAAATGGTTGCAATTGGGCGTGGCTGGTTTTTATCTCAAAGGTTTGGAGAACTTCGTAGACGATGATCGTTTATTGGCCAATTTGAATGAGTGGAAACAGCTTCTCGGCAACGATCGCGTACTCATTGCCAATGAAGCGCTAATACGAGAACTGAATCCCACCTTGAGTCCATTGGTCTTGCGTCATATCGATTTGATCGATGTGCATTTGGACGTGCTAAATGGCACAAGGCGTTTGGAAAAACATATCAATACAATGCTCAGCGGCGCACTCACACCGGCCGAACAGGGGCCTTGGCTGCATTGGTCTATCGGTGGTGTTGATCAGCAACGTTTTACACGCTATGGTCAAAGCAAAAATATCACATTGGCAGCGACAATCATGCAACTCATGTTGCCAGGCACACCGAACATTTTCTACGGTGACGAAATCGCACTGGAGTCCGTGTCCGATCCAGAGAATGAACACAATGAAACTAAACATCTGCATCATCTATCCACTATGGAGTGGTTGAATAGCACAAGGCAATTTACGAATCGTGAAACCTTACCATGGCTACCACAAAACGCTCACTTCAGTCATGAGAATTTTGAGACCGTGACGAAAATGATTGATTTGCGCAATCGCTCGCCATCGCTGTATAAGAATGCGAACTGTAAGCCAGAGAAGTCGCTCTCAAACACGAAGATACGCTGCAGTAACGATGATATTTTGGTAGTTGAACGTGTCTACCCAAGGCGCAACTCCTTTGTTTCCGTTTCGAACTTCGGCCAGAAACGTGTGTCGATGGACATGACAGCCATGTATTTTAGCGGTGTCAAAATGCTCGACGAGGATCACACGGAGAAAGTTTATTTTTCTAATTTCGAGATTGGCCCATGGGAAACTATTGTTGTTAAATTAGATAAATAAGCGGGTAATAAGTTATAAAACTTTGTAAAGTTGGTCGTGATCCTTCAGATGAAGAGATTACCATAAAAAAAATCTGGGTAGTACAGTATTTTTTATCCATCTCGAATTTACGGTTTGATTACATACATATACATATATTTTTATAGACGTAGTTGCCAAATATATGCTCATACAGTGGGAAAATAAAATAAAAAATCATATACGTAGAACTTACCGAGAGAAAAGCCTTAAAAATATATAGAGTAACGAATGAATGAAAACTCCTGAGAAAAGGATAAGTATTAGAGAATTTACGCTGTTTCTGATTCACTTTTCTTTGATGGAAATTACCTGAGTAAGTAGTAGTAGCAATGCTTAAACATCATGCTTGGCCATCAAGGCTTTAATTTCTCATACAGCACGAAATCGGCTGTGGTCGCACTATGTGAAGAGACGATAAAAATACTGTCTGAAAAAAATAAGAGTTCAGATTAAGAGAAATCTGGCAGATTCACTTAGACCTGACTTAGACTCCTTGTGATACCACAAAAACTTAAACCATGAGGTTTCATCCTCCATCTATTTTGATTCTTTAATGAACCTCATTAGATCCATGACTTTGACGTCAGCTATCTTCTATAGATCATCCAGCAGTGGGGTCCCAAATTATGAAACCTCGCCCTGCTCAAAGCAGGACAGTCGCATAAGAGTTGGGTGATCGTCTCCTCCTTTTCATCCTCCTTGCAGCAGTTTTTATAGGGAGCCCCTAGTCTTTCTGTGTGGCATCCGATCAGAGAGTGGCCTGCCAGAACTTTGGACGTGTCACCTCTTTTTAAGGAGTACATATCTTGTGATCTCTTCTTATCCCATTTCGGCTATGTGTGCCTGGTTTTGCGGCAGGTTGTGATGTCATTCCACCTTGTAGGGGCTTGTTCATATATGAATTCCTTGAGAAGCATTATGGATGTATCAAATCGCACACCAATGCGTTCTTTATAGAGAGGAATTTGCTTGGTCGCACCTCGCCTAGCAAGTTCATACGCATTACAGTTTCCCTCGAGAGACATTCAGTTCTCTTTGGCCATCTCCTGTAGAGATCGGCGACAGTTCAGCACTAATTCAGAGTTTAGCGTAAGCGACCCCAGTGCTTTTGTTGCTGCTTGACTATCGCTGAACGAACTGGCTAAGGAGCGTGTAATTTCAGAACAGAACATAATGTTGAACATTCCAGTTGCATTGAGCACAGCAAATCTAATGCAAGAAGTGTATTTACTTCGCCATGCGAATAGACTCTGGGAACGAGCCAAGGGCTACAGAATTACGAAAACTCTATGCAAAACTTATAATGAGGCAAAGAAGCCGGTTTCTAGACTGCTAGTAGAACTGTTAATAGCGGATCTCCTTCTGGCATTGCATGCATGCATGTAGAGACAGTGGAGCGGTTACTCTGCTGTCCAGTATGTGATAGACAAAGTTTAAGGTTACTTTGCACAGAATGGGTTAAGAAGCTACAATCGACTTCTCCTCGCTTACTCATGACGTTGAGAAACTAACAGACTCCAAAACTCATAATGCGGTCTATTGAAAAAGCCTTTTTCTCCTCCAAGCTGGTCAACTCACCATCACATTAGTAGGGACTCCCAGCTATAGGAACATTTTGCGTAGCGAGAAAGCCGACCAAAGCGGGAGCACCTCCAATTTTAACAAATAACATCAAAAAGTTGGAGATCCGCATCCATAGGGTCTGGCCTATAACAACCGTTGCCTTCGGTGGGAATTTGACAGAAATACGAAAACAATAATTTTCTCTACGAGCACCTAGCTATGCGGCAAATTCGTCTCAAAACACTGGAAATCTGGCAGGTACCAGATGGCTGTCCACAAAAAGCATCTAGGATAAGATGCAGTTTTATTCAGGCCACTAAATGTTTTTAACGCAAAATGAAACGTGATACGACAAATGTTAAGGTCTCATGAAAGCATCAGAATTTCGCGCACAGTGTCGATTGGGACATAGGATTACATCTTTTGATCTACCTGCATACCAGCCTTGGATGGTTTGCGTTGAGTCTATGGTCTCCACTTCTGCCACTTACCAAGATCAAAACAAAATATTGATATTTAAGACTTTAAATTATTTCTTCTTCTTCTTTACACCGCAAGCCGCGATTATAGGCGAGTAACACTTTCCTTTCGTTGATTGGCGCCAAACGGGAATACTAAGCTTAGCAAGGTCCTTCTCCACCTGGTATTTCCAATGGAATATATCTCGTATACCTCATCATGCCATCAGCTGCGGTATTCGCCATTGGCAATGCGTCATGTTTACTGAGCGCTCAGTTCGCTGAACCCACCCATTGTCCATGTCAGCTGATTTGTAGAGTTCAGTCTTTGTTCGTCAAGAGAACTGACTGCTCTTACTGTTGTTTGTATTACAAAATAGTTGAATTTATTAACGTTTTCAATATTATGACTGTCAACGGTGACGTGGAAGTAAAGTTACGAATGCAATGACTGTTTTTTTGGTGACAGGAGATATTTCGTCTTGCCCTCCTTAACTACCAGACCCATATGCTTCGCTACCTTATCTAGAGTCTAGCGAAAACAGAATTTGTTTAGACCGCCAATGATATCAATATCAATGACGTACGCCAGCAGCTGAACAGTTGAGCTCTAATGGAACGTAGTCTTTCGTACATAATCGGTTGCAGGGTTCGCTGTAGTCTAATTGCAGTGCCTGTGCACCAGAGGTCTAGCGGTATAGCGGCCCGCTATATAAATGTATAAAAAATTGAAACTTACTCGCCTAGCGAGGTTGTGCGCGTGGCTACGGGCTACGCAATGTAGAACAAGCTTCAAGGAAAATGGTAACAACGACTCGGTTGAGAGAACCCTCTTCTACTTACTTACCATATACAAAATTGTAGGATTAACTTGGTTTTCTTTTTGTTTTACTTTAAAATTGCAAACGCCAAATGAACTGGACAAATGTTAAGTACATGCATGCATACAAATATATTGACTTTCGGTAAATATTCCATATTTTCTCATTCAAATTTGTAAACTTAAAAATAATATCTATTTCATTTTCTTTTAGTTAAGTTCTAATAAATAGTGGAATATAATATCGGACTCATCGACTTAGTCTAATTTTTGGCCGCATTCAATTCGTTCAAAATTTTCATTAAAATTTTTTATTTATTTAAATAATATTTGGCCTTAATTTGTTCTTAGTGTATGCACTTGTATGTAGAATGTATGCATGTAAATTAAATATTTTATTTTAATAAAAGTCAGCAATCTTGTCGTACTGGAGTAAAACGTATTTTATGGGTTACTTACTAGTTAGTCCTAACCACAACGACACCACTTTGTGGAAATGCTAATTATTGAAACACATATCATTTATGTATGTATGTATGTATTTATGTATGTATATGTATGCAATTATTTAGTTTGGAATAATAAATAACTTGAAATGCTTACATTTATTTCCTTTCCTCCCCTTGATCACTATCTTTTCCTTTAATTTTTATCTTAAATATTAAAATCGCTTAATTATCTTTTTTTTTAAATATTAAATTAGTCATACATATATAATATAATATATCGGTTTATCTGTACTACACATTTACTCATCGTCGTTTTCGTCAACATCATCCTCGTCATCGTCATCGATTTCGTCATCATCATCGATTTCGTCATCGTCATTACCATCAGTACTATCAGTGCGTTTTAGATTTTTCGTGCCACTTTTAGTAGTTGCCACCTTTTTTGGCTGCACTTTTTTAGCACCTTTTTTGTTTTTCGATTCTTCTACCTCATCGTAGTCCAGTTCATCATCATCATCATCATCATCATCGTCGTCATCTAACTCATCCTCTTCCTCTTCGTTTTCTTCATTATCGAGCTGCTCATCATCGTCCTCATCATCATCATCATTATTATCATCGCTGTCGCCACCATCATTTTCTTTTCGTTTATTCAACGTTGGTTGTTTATTTTTCTTTGCTTGTTCCTTAACTAATTTATCCAATTCGGTCATGTCTTTGATTTTGACGCGCCGATTATTTGGATCCAGACATTTTACGGTGATGTTTACGAAATCGGACAGGCGTTTATCATCCCAGCTGGAGTACTGAAAGGAATATAGTAAATACGTTATGAAAATTAAATCTTAGACTTTATGAATAAGGGGTACGAGTATTGTGGTTCTAGCGCATGTAGAGTCTTCCAAGCATGTGAGAGCCTGCGACACAGCTCACAGTCGTCTCAATGTTTCTTTTTTTTTTTAAATGCATATTTCTTAAGCTTCCGAGCGTTATTTGGAATGTCTTAGCAACTTGGAAGACCGCCTAGATCATATGCAATGACAGCGAAATTGAAAACACGTACTTTTTGCTCACGCGGTGCCAAAAGCATGACAGGGCACAATTTGCTGGCATCACACACCAGCAGAATGGGCTTTGGGTAACAGTGAACACGTGTGCAGGGAAGTAGTCTAAATTAAGATTTAATAGATCAAATGAGTTACTGGAAACAATCGTCTGCTTCTGTTCGGCCTTATTTCGAACTCGAGATAGAAGTCCAATAGCTTGTGTGTGGCCTTAACTGGAAGTCTAGGTAGATAGGTATCTAAGAGCTTCGCAGTTCAAATTACTAAATGAAGTATAAAAATTGGTGTGCTAGGCTCGCGCGGAATACTTTAGGGTTGATTGCAATGAGCCTTTATCTGGCACTACGTAAGAAGGAACAGTCATCCACTATCACCTAATCTAACCCAAAATTCAGGTTAGAAAAAACAATTGTGCATTTTCAATGCTTACGAAGTTTAATAACAAGCCCGACGATAAAATAATGACAATTTTTTTCTATTTATAGATTTGAATGAAAAATAATTAAACTGTCAGGAACAACATTTGAAGTTCAATGTCAAAAAATCAACGATTCAACGAGTTTTCCCAAAAATAGGTGATGTTGTTTATCAATTCTCGCATAAAATTGTCGATGCAAAATCTCATCATAAGAAATTTATCAGCTCCGGCTAGGAATAAACTGTAGCTCATCCTCATTTGCCAGAAAAATATCAGCAGCGGAGAGGGAGCCCGACCAATAATCGTTCTTGTGGCTGTAAAGCACCAATTTTTGGCCAATCCGAACACAAACTTCCTGTTTATCCGATCTCTAACTTTCAGTGCTTTAAGGAAACTCTTCTCTGATGTTGGGCAAAAATAAGGAAAAGTTTGTATTTTTGTTGTGGGATAATGAAAAGACGTACGAACTTGCGGTTTTCACTATTAAACTTGTTTATTATTTGAGATTTGAGATAATTTTGTGATTTTGAGATAACGGCTACAAAATGACGCTTACAAGCCACTTGTAGTAGACTGAAATCAAAAATCGTTGTCAATACTTGAAGATCATCAAATTTTCTACGTCCTGAACCTCAACTGAAACAATTTTAACGATAAATTTATTGCATAATGGGCATTGCAATAATAGAGTTAAATTTTTGCTACGTTTTTTTACATCAATAACGTTAAAAAATATAAATAATTAATTATTTGTGCTTAGGCTCTTAGGCTCAAAACGTACAAAAAACTATATACTTTGAAACAGTTTTTGAATTGAAGAAATCGTATGGGTAGATCAAGCCCGAGGCTTGAAGTTAGATTGTTTCGAGAAAAACACGTTCAAATTTTTTTGACAGTTCGCAGCGTGCGTGAGACAGGTGTGTTCGAGAAGCTGCCATTTGAAAAATTTTCATCGTACTGAAAAAATCCTTTAAACACATACTCTAAATATTTATATATGGCTTTCATTTTTAATACAACAAAATAATGCTTCTAAAAGAATCAAGAAGCAAACAAAAAAATTTTTTTTTAATATAAATCGTTCCAATATTCCGAAAGCGCGTTGGAAAACTACCGTTATTGTGCATTTCTTCCAGTATATTAACTCAGTAATTTTGGTTTGGAACACGAAGAACGTTCTGGGCAGCACAAAGAACTTGAAGATGAGGAAAGGATGAGGAATCAATAATCAATGGCGATTGTTGCCAAATACAAGAATCTTTGGAACGCACTCAGGCAGTCACTTAAAAGCGGCCGTATAAATTTAAAAGCAAGTAAGCTGGATGCCATATGACTTGAAGTCAAGAGACGTTGAAAGAGGATTTTTAATGACAAAAATGCGCCTTGACCGCTTTAAAAAGTAGTCGATTTCGCAGCGTATGTGTCTGGCAACGAAAATCAGCTTCATTACCACAATCCTAAGCGCATAAAGTCATATGAACCAACAAGTCAAATAAAAGCAAAACCGAACATCTAAAGGATCGGTGTTTGATGGGATTAAATGGAAGCCACAAATTACCTGTAAGGTGGGGAAAATGTTATGGCTTCAGTTGGATAATACTTTAAATAATAATGATTTTACATGTATTTTTTAAACAAGCGTTCAATGCATAAAGATCGCTCGATCGAATTTATTTATATACCCAATATTTAACTAAAATTATTAAGTTCTGGAAGCAACGTAATTGTGCCTAACTAAGTGTGAGTATTAAAAGATATTATGGTGTGTTTGTATATACAATACAGAGTATACATACATTTAATTTTTATATAATTTTAAATTTTTTTAAATTTCTTTTTCAGGTGCCTGGACTCAGATTGATACTCCAATTATTCAAGAAAGGGAAACACTGGGGTCGAATTGCCACATCCGAAATAGTACAAAGGAAAATTATTGGGTTGCCCAAAAAGTAATTGCGGATTTTTTAAAAGAAAGTAAATGCATTTTTAATAAAACTTAGAATGAACTTTAATCAAATATATAATTGCCATTTTATTCGATAACCTTTTGCCATCTTCCTGGCAAATTTAGTATTCCACGCTCATAGAACTTCTGGCCTTTATCTGCAAAAAACTGAACCAAGTGCGATTTTATAGCCTCATCATTGCCGAAAGTTTTACCATTTAAGGAGTTCTGCAAAGATCGAAATAAATGGTAGTCTGATGGTGCAAGGTCAGGGCTATATGGTGGATGCATCAAAAGTTCCCAGCCAAGCTCACTCAGTTTTTGGCGAGTGACCAAAGATGTGTGCGGTCTAGCGTTGTCCTGGTGGAATATGACACCTTTACGATTGACCAATTCTGGTCGCTTCTCCTTGATGGCTGTATTCAATTTGTCCAATTGTTGACAGTAAACATCCGAATTAATCGTTTGGTTCCTTGGAAGCAGCTCAAAATATACGACACCCTTCCAATCCCACCAAACAGACAGCATAACCTTCTTTTGGTGGATATCAGCCTTTGAAGTGGTTTGAGCTGGTTCACCATGCTTGGACCATGATCGTTTTCGACTAACGTTGTTGTAAACAATCCATTTTTCATCTACAGTTATGATTCGTTTTAAAAACGGATCGAATTCATTGCGTTTAAGGTGCATATCAAAAGCGTTGATTCGGTGTGTTAAATGAATTTCCTTCAATACATGTGGTACCCAAATATCAAGCTCTTTCACCAGTCCAAGACTTTTTATGTGATAATGAACGGTTTGGTCATCATCAACTTCATTTGGCCGACATGAACGTGGCTCATCTTTAAGTGAAAAATCTCCAGAACGGAATTTGCGAAACCAATTTTGAGACTGTCTTCCTTTTAAGGCTTCATCACCATACACATCTCATAACTTTTTAGCAACATGCTCTGCGTTTTTTCCTATACGAAAAATCCGCAATTACTTTTTGGGCAACCCAATACTTTCTAACATTTGAAAACAGGTGGAGAGTGATGCTTTTTCTATTATATTAGCAATATGATTTAACATCTACTCATATTTGGATCGTAGTTTTAGGGCACAAGAGATATGGAACTATACAAATTTCTTTAAAAATAAACTAACTAAAGATAAGCAGCTGAATCCTCTGTTTTTTCATATTTTAGTAGCGACGGAAATGATGAAAGAAACAAGCCTCAAGAAAATTAAATCTTAAATATAGAGTTTTACCTATTTCGTGGGTTCAAAAATGCAGGGCTATATTTTGACATCTGTCAAACTAATCATGTTTTGTTTTAACCGTAATTGCGAGTGTAACCGAAAACACGAATGGGTTAATAATTATAATTAGCGCTTTGTAATCACTTAATTGTTGGTCGAACCAAGGCTCGAACCCTGGCCTTCAGAGTGGTAATACGCAATGAGAACCACTCGGCTATTGCTGCCGCTACATCGACATAAAGTGCAGCTCCTACAACATCATCGATTGGGTGCTTGAACAGCAAGCAGTTGACAGCGATTTTTCGAGCAAAATTTTCTTCAGTGACAAGACAAATTTCTCACTCACTGTTCGGTGCGGCGGTGTGATTGGACATTATGGCTTTGAAGACGACAACGGCGGGACTGTCACTCTATATCGGAGCATTATGGTCTTAGGTTAACTGACTTTGTTTTGGACTGCTATTGTAGATGCCACACAATAGAAACGAATTTGACTTTATTACGGGAGAGATTTCTCAGCTGCGTAATCTCCATAATGCAATTGAACTTTTTTGTGGGGCTACGCGAAAGATCGTATTTAACTCTTGACGACTTGAAAACCAACAATCGTCAAGTTAAGGCTGAGATACTGACCAATACTGATGCGCCAAAAAGTTATCGGAAATCATCTCAAATGGTTCGAAGGTTGCAAAAACTAGCAAGGCGTTCATTTGTATGATATAATGTTTCACATATAATACCGAGATTTAAAACCCCAAACACTTTGAAAATGCAAAAAAGCATTAATTGAAAATTGATTTGATTTTCAAAACTGACTACAGTACATCTAACCTCTTGAATGTTTATACTATCCAAAATACATACATATTAATTTGAAGACTCACCACTGAGCTCGAAGTGAAGAGCAACTCTTCCGGTGCAGTCTTGACACGAATATATTTTTGCAATAAATTATTATCGTCCTTCCGCCATAAACACAAACGATTATTCTTGCAGTAGTCCTCAGTCAATTCGCGTTTGTATAACAATAATTCGAATGAATGTTGAGCATTTGACGATGAAGTGCTAGCAGTCGATGCTGCAGCGCTAGTGTTTTTATCGGTGAATTGTTTCTTCGGCGGAAGATTATTACCTGCAGCACCGCCACCACCACCACCACCACCACCGCCACTGCCACTGCCACCAGTACCAGTTCCAGTGCCGGCGCTATTTTTCTTCGATGACGTTGCGGTACTACCAGCCGCTGTCTGCGGTTCATAATCTTCGTAATCGTCTAAATCTTCATCGCTCACCTCTTCATCGATATCATCATCATCATTCTCGTTGTCTTCGTCCCCATCATTATCATCATCATCATCATCACTATCATTGTATGTTGCACTGGTTGTTTTTCGTTTAGCCGCCGCTGTTTGTTGCTTGCCACCCACAGTTGGTGCACCCTTGCGTTTACGACCACGCTTGGCATTACTACCACCACTGATGCTGCTTGAGCCACCACCACTGACGCCACCTGCCAGTGCGCCAGACTTTTGTTTTTGTTTCTTGCCATTTTTATTGCCCGACGATGAGGCGGCTGGACGCCAATCCTCCTCGGAGTCATCATCATCCTCGCTATAATCTTCCTCGGAGTCTTCGAAGGTGGTGGTCACTAATTCTGTGCGGCTACGCATCCTGGGTTTTTTGGTGCTCAAATTATATTTATAGGTCGATTTGAGAATGGACTTTTTCGACTGGCTTTTACTTTGGCAGACGGTGGTTGGCAAGAGTAACGGTATTTGTTACAGTCGTATGTATGTCTGTATGTACAATATATGCCACGACTTGGGGGTGATACAGAGATTTTGCAAAATTTTCTATTGTATCACAGCAGCACTTTTTGTTGCGGTTTTCTGCTAAGCAGTTTATTTAACATCAATTGAAACATACACACTTTCACTCACACTCAAATGGAATTACAAAACACTATTTTTTTACAAATTATTTTCATAAATATTTCACACTAAAATTTATTCGCAAAATATTCCGTTTCCTTCCGTTTCGTCTACTATTTGTGGCATCAACACTTCGGCACAGTATGAATGTCGTGTTTATATATTTTTTTGTGAATGCCTTTGCTGCACTGAGTAAAGCTCTCTTTGCTTAGTGCTCAGTGTCTGAGCAAAAATAATTCTTTACATATTCATAGACGGAGTACCTCGACTAACACAGTCTTTATATCGTTTCACTTAACATTTGTTTTTTTTTTTTGGCATTTTGATACATGCAAAAGAGAAAACAGCGGTAAGTTGTTAGTAGCATCCTTCAAAGCGAGAAACGCTCAACAATATTAGGGGGGGGGATGAAAAGCAAAATTAACTTTTAGAATGGATTTGGTGAAGAAAAAATATTGAACCCAGCGAAAAACAAATTTTTATATAAATAAATAATATAATAATTTATATAAGTAAATAATTTTTGTATATAAATTTTGCTTTCAACGGGATACTTTGGGGAGAATTTGTATCAAACGAAATTTTCGGTGTAATATGATATTCTTCATTGGAAAGTAATGTATAGTATTATTAAAGTCTATCGTCAATTTCCGTTTAGAAAAAACAGACACCAAGCATAAGTATTTATCTAAAAAAATATTTAGCTGATTAATAAAACAACATACAAAATTATATTTAGAAATATTAGATGAATAATCAAATAATTAATACTTAATAAAATAATTATTTAAAAAAAAATTAAAATAGAGATAAATAACTAATAATTAATAAATAAATAAAAAAATAATTAATTAATTAAATATAATAAATAAAAATTTAAAAAACTGTTTGAAAAAAATACCGCAAATAAAAAGTAAATAACTTAATAAAAAACTATGAACAAATTTTTAACAAAAATAAATAATATTAGTTATAAAATAAAATATAAAAACGGTAAGTTTTTGTTTATTTAGTATTTATTTATTAATTTAAAAGTAAATAAATAAATATTAAATATATAAATGAAGGAATAACTAAATGGTCATATATATAATTAAATAGTTAATAAATAAATAAATCAATAAATAAATATAGATAATAAAGAAAAGCGAAAAACTGAAAATAAAACAAATAATTCATAAACTAAAAATAAATAAATTAATACTAAGTAAAAAAAAAGAAATTTACAGAAAATAAAAAACAAATAAATAATAATTACAAAAGTAAAAAAAAAGTAAAAATAAAATAAATAATAAAGAAGGAGTCTAAATAAGTAATTACTTAATTTATACACAAAAAAATTATAATAAAATTAAAGCATAAAAATTTCCAAATAATTAAATGAAAAATAATAAGTAAAAAAATTAATAAAAAACAAAAAGCAATGGATTAAATGAGTAATAGAACAAGACAGCTAAATAACTAAATAAACAAATTTATAAAAATAAATTAAATATCTAATAAATTAATTAATAGCTAAGTAATAAATAATAATAAATAAAGAGATAATATTAAAAAATATTCAATAAACAAATTTTCAAATAAATAAAAAATAAATAATAAATAAATTAGAATATATAAAAAAATTAAATTTGTTATTAATAAACAAATAATGAATAAATAAAATAGAAATAAAGAGTTACTAACGAAAAATAATAAACAATTGTTGTAAATAAAAAGGTAACAATAATAAGCATTAAAAAAATAAAATGAAATATAATACGAATAGGCAGGGAAGTAGGTAAGGAGTAAATAAATAAATAAAAGCGACTTTAATTTATTTTAAAAGAATTTACTACCAAGTAGTTTATTAAAAAAATAATACAAATAAATGAATAAAAATTGAATAAAGAAATGATTAAATGAAAAATAGTTAAATTAATGAACACAAATTAAATAATCAAAAAATAAACTAAGAACTAGATAATGAAAATAAATAATCTTGGCTAAAAAATAAAATATTTGTTATTAATATAAATGTATAATAAATAAATAAATAAATAAAATAAATAAAATAAAAAAAATAAATAAAATAAATAAAATAAAAAAATAAATAAATAAAATAAATAAAATAAATAAAATAAATAAAATAAATAAAAAAAATAAATAAATAAAATAAATAAAATAAATAAAATAAATAAAATAAATAAATAAATAAATAAATAAATAAATAAATAAAATAAATAAATAAATAAAATAAATAAATAAAATAAATAAAATAAATAAATAAATAAAATAAATAAATAAAATAAATAAATAAGTAGCTAACAAATAAAAAGTTAATAAATAAATACCGCAAAATTTTATAATTGCAAACAGGATTTCATTTGTTGATTAAAAGGGGATTGCGAATTTTTTCAATGTTCAGTTAAAATTATTTAAATTTTGACTGTTTTCTTTTTTTAAATGAGTTTAATGCATAATTTTTTTTAAATTGTAAAATTATTTTTTTTTAATTTTCCCATTTTTAAGTGGCAGTAGATTGGTGAAGATTTTGTTTAAACAAATTTTATAGCTTAAGATTTCTTCGTTTTTCTTTTTTAGATATCAGTCCTTTCTTATCTTCCAAACAAATATTTTCCGTCAATTAAGGCAAATTTACAAGACAAACGCTTATATTGCATATATATATATATATATATATATATATATATATATATATATATATATACTTACGTGTAGCTCACAAAATATCTATTTTGCCTTATGCCGTGTTACTGTTGTTTCTCTCTTGCTTATCTTAAGTTTCTAACAACAAAATGTATTTCTCCGAATCTCTTCATGTCCTTGAAGCTTTAAAAGCTCACTTAGCAGATACATGAACCTTTAAATGTTAAAACAGCAAATGAAGGCTCACTATACATGAAATCACATTTCTTTATTATATTATTGGCGCTTTGTAGCCGCTGAAGCAATTTTCGGACGAGCTACACCTCCAATTGGCGTCCCAATTGTAGTACTAAATTTATGGTATCAAATGTATTTAACTGCTTGAGTAATTTAATAAGCCAAATCACGGAAAAGATCCTAGATAATGGGTGAAATACATTTACGGCTGCTCTTCAGACTATTTTAACCTAAAAGATGGTTGTTACTAGTCATAAGTTCTGATTTTGGTATGCCTGCGAAACTACTGTAGTAAGTGGCTGCACGAGAGACTAGTTTAGGTTGAATTAGCTTACTGAGGCCCACGAACGGATCCTTTGGGATACCACTGAAAAATTAAGCAACCGAAGTTCAAGAGCTTGCTGGAAAAGATTTTAGCTAGTTTCCTCAAAATGTAGAGCATTCACAAAAGAAGTGCCCTAAGGTTTCAAGATTTTACTCTACACTGCAACTTCTGCAGAAGTCTTTGATAGTACACGTAGTCTCGCTGCGTACCTGTGAAAAAGGATGTGCCTTGTAAAAATACCCATAACGTACGTAACTCCTTTTCTTTAGCTAGAAATGCCTTCCCGATTATCGCTAAATTTGTTAAATTACTACGGCCATATTTCAACAATTCAGCCTATTCGATTTTGGGCTAGATTCGGTGGCAAATATTAAAGTATGCTTGTAGGTTTAGAGCGGCATGCGCAAACTCGTTCATAATGAAAAAATTGGAAGGAAATTGGAAATTGTAAGCCGGTACGTTTTGTTGGTTTACCGCAGTTGTCGGGGGATTACCTTTGCGTACTAACATTCGGTTAACCAGGGTTTGTGTTCCAATATCCAAAATTAAAGAATATCAATTGCCGCACGGTCGCTCCTTGGCCGTTAATACTCAAGCTCTTCGAGTGTATTTCTGACATGAAATAAAAGCTCCGCATGAAAGTCCATCGGCCACTCTGAGTAAAAATGAAAATGCACATCTCAAATTGCAGCTGGTACACGGGGACTGCAAAATGCCAATTCTGTATAAGGAGATAAACACAGTGTTCCGGCTTTCTTACCAGGCTCAGAGTGAAGTATACATAGCCCCTCACGATGAATGAATCACCGAAATCATGTAGACGAAACCCTTTGTGTAGATCCCACCACAAGCGGAACCTTATTAAAATAAGAGTATAGCCGTGGCCGGCTTACCAGCGTCAGTCGTCTTCTGTAGTCTCACCGCAACTAAAAACCAGCGGCAGAGAACTGTAACACAACTTCAATCATAAAGTTATTTAATGCGTTAAGAAGAGGCAATTATGTGTGTATATATGTAAGTAAAACGTACCTAGATGAAGATTTATTTATATTGGCATACGCATGCTACAAATGGCAATGTCGCATTGTCTCTGAGGCGCTCACGTAATAGTAGCTTTTACTATCATTTCAGCACGCTTGGCTGATTTTATAAAGTGGCAAACGGTACTCATACACATAAAAGGTGTTTTTTTATACATGTGGTTTTCAAATACAAATTAAATGGCTATAACTTAAACTTATGGCAAAGAATTTAGCTTTATTATAAAGTGAAGGGTTTGCTATTACGTTTTTAAAATGATTTCGAGCAAATGACCGCCGCAGCTGGCGCGGATAAACTCCAGTCGAGAGGTCCAATTTTCATCTACCTTTTGCCGGTATGCCAGCAATAACGCGACAAACGATCGCTTCCAAGGCGTCAATCATCGAGAGCTTATCCAGAGAACTTATAATAATAAAAATCGAGAGAAGGATTTGAACTCGCACAGCTTGGACAAAAATCGATCGACGCAAACCGATGCACCAATAATCACTTCAAAGTTCCGTTGGCATAATTAGTATTTATTTAGATCGCTGACAAAAGTATTGGCAAAATCTCAAATATTATTCTAAAGAATGACTTGTTTGTATGACCATATTTAATTCGACATGTGAGCTATGAGGAAGAAGAGCAATAGGAATTTCAGTCGTTCATAGTGAAAACTCTATAATGTTTTTAATAATATTTTAATATTTTTGAAACTTATTTCTTTGCATCGAACTTTTAATAAGTTTTAATGATTTTTTAAATTAAAATTTTTTAGCCTTTTTTAAATTTTTTTTTATTATTTTTTTTATTTATTTTTTAATATTTTTTATGTTTTTCTATTATATTAAATACATATTTAGCACACTTGAAATTGCCAAAGCAAAGGTATGCAATAAGTTATAGAAATCATGGTGAATCCCTTTCCCGGTGTGGTGAATCCCTTTCCCAAAGTTTTTCAGAAATTGTTCGAAGTTGGTTCGATGTTGCAACGAATTTGCACCTTCTCGTTATTATAAGTTCTCTGCTTATCTGTCTAGGCAAAGGACTTCAAATAATGCCATAAAAAATCGGAGGCCGCGCCTGAGGCACACGACGCGAGAGAAAAATTTTCATCAATAGATTGATTAAATCGTTGACCTAAGGTCGCCAACATCAACGTCCTCTAATTTAAGCCCGAAAAAAAGTTATTAATCAAGGCTTTATAAGGTTCCCCATTGCTGTCGGCTTCTCTTTTGAAGAAATGTGGACCAATGATGCCCGCTGGCCATAGCGCTCACCAATCAGGGACTTTTTGAAGACTTTTATCATCACTCAAAATGCCGAAATTCTGTTTATTCTATTCAACTAAACGTTAACATCAGCGCTGAACATTTATTATACGGCCTATTCATCCAATGTCCGACACGCCGACGTTGGTAATTCAGCTTCAGTTATTAGACGAGAGTCTATATTCGAAAACCAAGATCAAAGTGGATAGGTACAGCTTCAATTGATGCGCGCAACGACGTACGGACTCCATCGGGTTTTCGTTGGTACTCTCCTCCATCAAGTATCAATATCGTCTTCGGTGCGCAATGTGCGAAGTCTCTGAGCACACGCAATATTCACCTCTTCACGGTTGCTCGAATTACCTATGTTGGGCTATTATGATAAAAACCGATTCCGAACAAAGTTTTGCCTCATTGAAAACCAGGCGTCTGAAAAAAGTACCCTATACATATTTATATATTTGCTTGTGCAGTGTTCACTCACTCACTATGCCATAAACATTTTTGTTGCTTTGTTTCATTGTTCAATTGCTGTTACTTTGATGCGTATTGGGTGTCACTTATTATTGGCAGAGAAATTAAAATGATTAGTATGCCAAACAGTCAATCAGTCAATCAGTAAATCAGTCAGTCAGTCAGTCAGTCTCATAGTCAATAAGCAAAATAATTATACAAGTGAGGGTACAAAACCGATCAGCAAAAAAACGGTGGACAAGCGAAGGCCCAAAGTTCAACAAATTGCTGTTGGTGTTTCACGAAAGATCGCAAGCATTTGCCGAAAGCTTTCAATTGTTTTTCGGTTTTCAATTTTCTCTGGCTCATCTGCTATGTAACGATGTTTGTTGGCAAGGCCAAAGCCAAAACCGAAGCCGAAGAAAGCATAATAATTGTGCTCTGGCTACAGCACAGCACAAAATATATGTTACACTGTAAGTACACAGATGCGGCGGAGTTCGAAAATACACATGCGCGCTCAGCTCAGGTAAGTAAATTGCGCTTTTGACTTCAGTACGAGTATGTACAAATGCGCGTAAAGTGTGAGCGAAAAATAGTCGTTCACGTGCAAGAATGCTTTTCGATATTTTTAAAGGTAGAGATGAATTGGTTGTCGAGGGCATGCAAAGAAGTGGTATTGCACTAACTGCGGCGACTCATTGCATACAGTACATGCGTTGCGTATGCCGGGTTCAAAAGTGGATTGGTAAGAATTAAGTCGACTACAATACACAGACTTCATTTTTATCAGTATTACTCGGAGCTTGTGAGACAGCTCGCGCCTTGGTCTACCATATGTGATGATTGGATGCCGAAAACACACTCACGGGTAAGGAGCTAAGAAAGTGTTAACTTCATTAAGTCGACAACAATATCCAGACTTTATATTTACCAGTATGACTCGGAGCTCGTGAGACAGCTCGAGCCTTCGTCTGCTATAGGTGATGTTTGGATGCCGCAAACATCACTCACGGAAGGAGCTAAGAAAGTGCTAACTGACTCTTTCCGAATTTCATTAAGTCGACTACAATATCCGAACTTAATTTATACTAGTTCGTGACACAGCTCGAGCCTTGGTCTACCATATCTGATGTTTGGATGCCGAAAACATCACTCACGGGTAAGGAGCTAAGAAAGTGTTAACTGACTCTTTGTAAATTTTATTAAGGGCTTATTGGTGTGTAGTCTCGTCCACCAGTTTAGTTCTATGCTGCTATATAGAGTCGCCGAAGAAGTGTACTTGCTTTCTGATGTGCCTATTCAGCCTCCAATAAGTGTCTTTTGGGTTGTTTCCCAGCATTATTTCCCTGAAGCTATTGCTTATACAGCATAAAATTGTGGTCCTTAACTCAGAGCATAGATGCTTTACAGTATAAGACAAAGTTTCAAGATCTCACAGTTCTCAGTGGTGTTAAAGCAGTTTTGTAGCTTCTTCAACAGCGGTTCCCGTAGTTATTTACGAACCAGCCAATTGCTTTGGCAGTTTCTTTGTCTTTCTCGCACGTGCTGCGCGCTCCCGATTTGAGAACTTTGTTACAGCTCTATACTTTGGTGGCAACTGCAGTCGTATGCGGCGTGACTCATAGTAACTCTGGCTACATTTATTGTCAGAATTTTAATGTCATTGAGTAAGAGCTCGTCAAGGCTGTTGATGAGAGTTTTGCTGGCTACAGTTGTAGTTGTCGTGTCGAACAAAGATTATCAATAGCCTGGCCAAACGCCAATATCGCATAGCCATCGGCATATGAGATCAGGAAAATGGCCTCACTCTGGTGAAGTTTCAAGATGAAAAAATTAAACATGAAGGAAGAGAACACCACTTCTGTGGTACTCCATATTTAACTTTCCGGAGCTTAGAATATTTGACCAGAAACTTTACCGCTGACTGCCAACTACTTAGGTGGTTCAAGAATTCCTCAATGCCCAATATTAGCAGTACGTGATTGGCCGTGTCAAAAGTTTTTGCCAAGATCGGTGATACCCAGTCAGTACGGTTGAAGCATTGATTTTGATTAAGACTATGTGGGTGTTAATGGCGTTGAGTGAATGCAGTTGTGGTGATTATATGCTGCTAGGCTTAGGTGGTGTACATCTCGTAAAGCTTTTATTTTCTACCACAAGTTGTATCTCTTGAAGAAGACAGTGTAACACCGACCTTCCGCGATCGGTTTCGGGGCAGTCCAGACAGTTACTGGTTTTCGGTCACCGGTCTGTTGTATTTTTCGATTATCCCTCAAACGCGCCCCTCGGTCGGTTGAGCTCGTCGTTATAAAAAAAAAGAAACGAAGACTTCCCTCAGATCTTGTCATCGTCCAAGCAAGCGCACAAAATTGCATGACGGAAACTTTAAGTTTGTTTTTTTTTTCGTCGTGAGAGCGCTTTCCTTTTAATTTAAACACTCAGTTCAAGCTAGATACAGTCGAATCGGTTGAATGCTGGGCGAAACTCCGGAGCACTACTTCTGCGAGTATCCGGCCTTCAGCCGGTCTTTCACGATGCCTGCCGGTCCGTGGTCTTTTTAGATCTAGCAAAACGTTCGCAAAAGTATAATTGGGTTAAGCGATGGAGCACAATGAGCTTGCGCTATGGCTTAGGTGGGAAAGCTTGCTGTCCAGACTTCCTTTCGACCAATCAAAAAGAGCAAAGATGCACCTGTTGACTAGATATTGCTGTTGGAGCTTATACTGGTTCCAAGATAGACGAAATTGTCTACAATATGAAAGTTATGAGTGTAAACAGAGATGTGGGAGATATTGAAACTCACCTCTGGCGACTTTGCAACTTTTTGAATTTTTCCTTCAAGCCGAATACATTTCGCACACACTGTAAAATACTCATTCGTTGTATCAGTTTGGTAAACGGAGAAATGCCAAAGCGTAATGTAAATGGAAGTATGGAGAAATTTCAAAAAGCCACAAAACACCGCTAAGCTGCAAAAAATGGTTAGTTTATTTCGCTACATTTATCCATGCAGACGCGTAGCGGTGCGCGTGCGTAGAAATCAATCACAAATAAGAGCATTCATATTCGTGAACTTGCGTTCAGCTCAAAGCGTACATACTTAGTACGTCTCACATATATATATATATTATATTTACAAAAGATAACAGTGTTAAGAACTGTGGCATAAGCAGCAATTGAAGATAACATAATAAGTGTCATTACAGTTAGCAAGTCAGTTTCTTACGTCTGCTCTAAGCATACAATATAATCAAAATAACAATGGCTACACTGTTGCATCATATTCTGCTGATTCTACTTAGTCTAAGCTACGCATGTATGGCCTGGAGTCGTGCGACTACACTTAAAACAGCAGAAGCGCCTCACGAAGTTAACGGTAAACAATTGTTTGTCTTCGGCAGCGGTAAGGAAACAAGTCCACCTGATTTTGTACGCTTGGTGGTGATGCGACTCATTTACGGTCTGGCCTCCACAATGGGTTTCGAGGAGCGTTTAGAGGATGCATTCAATGGCGCCTTTGTGCCGCCAAATGCCGATGGTGGCCTCTTCAGTTTTGGTGGTTACGATGACGCGGATGATGGTGGCGCATTCGGCGCACTTTTCGACGACTATTGAGAAGGTGAAGAGACAAAGGAAATTTACGAAAAGAAAGGCGTTTAAATTCTGCTCAGCTCATTGTCAGTGTACTTGTAAGCTGTGGCAATAACAATAAAGCGTTTTCGTTTTACCAGCCAATGTACATACATATGTACATGTGTATGTATTTACAACCAATTAAGATAGCATGTACGTATGTATTTATATGTAGGCCATAGTGTTGATGGCCAGAAAGATAAAAGTGACCAAAAAATTTTTAGTATATTCAAATGAAAATATTTATTTTTTATTTTTTAAGTGTAGTTTTTAAGTAAATGTAATTTCTGCTTTAATTTAAATATATTTAAGAGCAGCTGCGTAGCTGTGTTGAAGAATTCTATTTACATAATTACATAATATAATAAAGTGTAAGCGCATAACCGAGTGTGTTATGAAAGTGATAAAAGAAGAAATGAAAAATAAAAAAAAAAATAAAAAAAAAAATAAAAAAAAATAAAAAAAATAAAAATATTTGGTATCGAAATGTATGTGTTACTCATACTCATTTGGCAAATAAAAATTTGGTAAAACTTTCTACTTTACAAATGTGTACATAGTATATATGTACATATACCTGCACATATTCGTACAGCTGTAAATATATTTTGGTGTCTGTCGAAATCGAAAATTAAATATTAATAATCAATTAGTTGTGCGTGCAAGTGTGAACTTTCAAACATTAACTCTACCATATATAGGCGCACATGTATATTTATATATATATATATATATATTTCTTTGTAGGTAAGCATATACAAATATATAAGTAAAAGTGTGTGAATGTAAGAAAGGTCGTATCAAACTATTAAACCCAGCAGACGCTTTTCTGTCTTAACTTAATTACGTTTCCTCAAGAGCTAAAGCCATTTTAGCGGTACAAAAATAGACTAATTTTTAAAAATCCATTGTTGAAATATTCATATTTCCTATTTAACCATTTCATTGAACATATACTGAAGTATGAAAAAATATTCTTTAATTATTATTTTGTTACAAAACGAAGGTGACAAAGTCCATTATATAATCCATGTTTTTTCCATGTGCACGGGAGAACCGCATTCTTTTAAAGAATCAGACCCAGAACAGAAAAGCAAAAAGTTTTATAATCTACAAACTATAGTCTTTGGAATTGCGTACGTCATTTATTTTTGAACTAAAACATTTTATCAGTTGTACAACTTTGCTCCGCCGTTTTTTTTTCCCAAAATTAAAAGCTTTATTGCGAAAAAGTGTTTACAGTTATATTATTTAAAGTATTGTCCTTCGCTAGCGACAACTTTCTCCCATCTTTCCGGCAATTTTCGTATGCCGGCTCGAAAAAAGTACTCCTCTTTCAACGCTATCCATGAAGCAATCCATTTTTCGAATTCTTCGAAAGATTGAAAATGTTGATCTGCCAGGACGTGTGCCATCGAACTGCATAGGTGGAAGTTAGAAGGGGCGACATCTGGGGAATACGGCGGGTGGGGCTAGACTTCCCATTTCAGCATTTCCAGGTACTTTTTGACCACTTTTGCGACGTGAGGCCGAGCATTGTCGTGTTGGAGGATGACTTTGTCATGTCGCTCTTGATATTGTGGCCACTATTATTTAAGCGCGCGTCTAAGGCGCATCAGTTGCGTTCGGTAGCGATCTCCTGTGATGGTTTCACCCGGTTTTAAGGGCTTGTAGTGCTTCTACTTGTTCACCTTTGATGGTTTTTTCTCTTCCTCCACCACCATGTTTGTCTTCGACATCGAAATCACCATTTTTAAAACGTTGAAACCACTCCCGACACGTTCTTTCACTCAGAGCAGCATCATCGTAAGTGCCTGAGAGCATTCGTTGCGCTTCAGCTGCATTTTTTTTTTCGAATTGTAACAGAAAAGTAAAACTTCCCGCAAATGGCGAGAATTAGGCCCATAAACGGACATTTTCCAGCGTGAATAATACGAAAACAAGAGTAACTGCCACTGAAACGCCGATGACAGTTCGTTAGGCACTGTCCACACTCACTTTAAAGGCATTATCATCTATGTATTTCAACCAGCCTCAGCCGGTACAGCCACCTATCGGACCGCGGCGGAAGCAAAGTGGTACACCTGATTAAAAAAAAGACAAAATTAATATGTATTCCCGAAGCTACCATCGAACCTGAAGATAAATCGTTGGAATAGGGTTCGAATAATGTGACCTTCCAGTTTGAAAAATGAGATGTTTGAAATGATTTTGAGAAAAACTCGTTTAAAGTTTTCATTGTACTCAGCGCACGCTCTGAGGGGCTGCAGCAAAATGAAAAGTTCAGCGAATTTAAAATATTTTTTACACTTTAAAATCAATTGCATATCATTTCCAGAACCCAAAGGCACCCTGCGAGCAGAAAAAAATTTGCGTTTTCCAAATTCGTCTCTCATATTTATATAAAAATGCAATGTCCGCTTGTAAGGATTCTCATATGTCGAAAAAGCATGTTGTTTCTATGGTTCCTGGAAAGGTTATACAAAAGTGGACCCGGGAGTGACCTTTTCTATATTATTGTTCTGTTTTTATGGTTCGTAAGTCGAAATTCGGGACATGGGTAGCTTTTGGCGAAAGAAATCGTATTAATAGCCCTTTTTGCTTGGAAATTTGTTTACGGGAAATGGATCAGTGGAGCCACTGCGACTTATTCGGTTTAAGTGTCCGCTGAAGTCTAATTTCAGCGACTCGCTGTATAAATGTGTAAAAAAACTTTAAACTTACACTCCTATCGAGGTTGTGCGTTTGGTTTGAACATCAGCTCCAATGAACCATTTTGTAACTCTTCGAATGAGATACTCCCTTTCTCATGTAGACCCCCGAAACAAATGAGGGCATGCACCTGGAATGTTGGGTCCTTTAATTAGGAAGGTACTGCTGTCCAGCTAGTTCATGTCCTCGTAAGAATAGAGACTGACACTGCCGCCCTCCAAGAAGTGCGATAGACGGTCAAGGACGGCAGACATTTACTATAGCGGCCATATAAAGGAGCGCAAATTTGGGGTTGGCTTTGTGGTGGGAGAGAGACTCCTTCGCCGAGTACTGGCATTCACGGCTGTAGGTGAACGTCTCGCCACAATCCTCTTCATAGCAAAATTTTTTTAACATATCGTTGATTTCCGCCGACGCCCCGGCGAAAGAGAAGCACGATTTAGCCAAAGGTACCTTTGATGAGTGCCTAGAGCATACCTACGAGCGCTGCCTCCGACACGATGTGAAAATCGTGTTTGGCGATTTTAGTGCGAGGGTGGACAAAGAAGGCATTTTTGGCACGACTGTCAAAGCCTTTACAACGAAACATCCCTTAATGGGTTGAGGCTGATCGACTTCGCCGGGGTCCGAAATATGGTTGCCTGCAGTACAAAATTCGAGCACAAGAAAATACATCAAGCTGTTTAGCTGTCTCCAGATCCAAAAACTCTCAACGATATTAATTATGTTGTGATTGACAGAAGACATAATTACAGTGTTCTTGATGTGTTTACACTCCGAGGACTAACTTGTTGCAGCGAAGATCCGCACGCGATTCTGTGTATCAAAGATTGCCCATCGACAAACTGGAAGAAGGTTCGACGCTGAAAAGCTGCAATCACAAGTAGGTTTTCGACTTGGCTTGCACCCTGCTTTCTGAGAGCACTCATCATCCACACGGAATAAGGGAACTGTGGGACGGCATTTCAAACCCCCTACGTAGAGCTGTAAACCAAACTATTGGATTTCGGAAAGGTCGCAACAACAGCTGGTGCGATAAGGACTGTCGTAGCGCAGTGGAGAGAAAACATACTGCCTATGTTGCAACGTTGCGATCGACCACAACACGTCCGGAATGGCAGAGATACCGAGAACTGATGCATGTGCAGATAAAAAAAAAGAAAGAGGCCAAAATGCATGTGTAAGGAGAGCTTGAAAAGCTGCCCAACAAGGTCGAAAATTTCATGAAAAGATGCGACGGTTTGTAGAAAGTTTCAACACCAGGGCAAACTCTTGTAGAACACAGAGAGGTGATCAAGTAACTGTTGCCCAGAATATACTTCTTCAGCCTGCTGAATAGAGTGAGGGAGTAACATCAAGAGAAAGTGGGCCCGATTCCTCAATCGATGAGGATGGAACAAATGTTAGATTGCCCCACTAGGAAAGTTCATTCGGTTTTTATCTATGAGTTATTGTCCATAGTACCAGTGTTACGTATCGCATCAAGTCATACTATACGGCGCTGAAAACGTGTTTATTCGCGCTAAAAGTTTGTCTTTGACAGTTTTTCGATTGATAGACTCAGTACGTTGTGAGCGCTCGTCAAAGATGGACACCAGTAAAGAGAAAATTCGCGTCGGCCTGTCGTCGAAAATTGTGATAAAATCATGGAAATAGTAGAAACAGTCCTTCACATGAGCACTTATTTAATTGCTGAGGAACTAAAGATAAGCCAGAAAACCGTTTGGATTGTGACTGGCGATGAAAAATGGGTCACTTACAACAACATCGAGCGCAAACGGTCGTGATCAAAGCTCGGGGAAGCGGCCCAGACGGTGGCCAAGACCGGTTTGACGGCCAGGAAGGTTTTGCGGTGTGTTTGGTGGGATTGGCAAGGAACCATCTACTACGAGCTCCTCTATTGCCAACAAATGGACCGCTTTAATGCAGCACTCGTCCAGAAGATTCCATCTTTGATCAACAGTCGCCGAATTGTGTTCCATCAGGACAACAACAGACCACACACGTCTTTGGTGACGCGCCAGAAGCTCCAGGAGCACGGATAGGAGGTCCTAATGCACCCACCTTATATTCCGGACCAGGCACTAAGTGATTACCTACTTTTCCTGTCCATGGCGAACGCGCTCAATGGTGAGAAGTTGGTCTCAAGAGATGCCTGTGAAAATTGGCTCTCCGAGTGTTTTGCCAATAGGGACGCAGCCTTCTACGAGAAGGGTATAATGAAGCTGGCATCTCGTTGGCAACACGTTTACGCACAAAACGGCGCATATTTGCCTTAAATCGGACAAATGTACATAAAATTATCATATTTTGAAAAATCAATAAAAAACCGAACGAACTTTTTACTTGACCTAATATATCTATGTACATGCTTTCCTCCCACGATTTTGTTCTAGTAACTTTCACTTTATATACAATACATTTATATACCCATAAAAGTATGTCACACGTTTGAATAACAAATCAAAGCAATAAGACCTAAAATCAAAGAAGAAATGGGTAAATGTGCATTGACTTCGTCTGAAATAGTCCACGTGCTTACTCGGTGCTTGACTTGTGCTTTATAAACAAAATTTAATCGATTCGGCAGACAATTACACAGAGGAAATCACGAATTTCATCATTTAGCTCAACAGAATCTTTAAACTTTCCATAAATTGACAATTGAAAGTAAATCTACAAACAAGAAGAAAGCTTCAC